TGTCCAATATGTTGACATGTAAGTTTTTGTAGTAGGTTCTCATAATCCTTTGTATTTCTGTGGTATTTGTTGTAACTTCTGTTTTCATTTCTGATTTTATATGTAGGTGTCCTCTTTTTTTGACGAGTGTTGAAGGTTTATCAATTTTGTTGTCTTTTCAGAAAACCAGCTCTTTGTTTTTTATCTTTTCTATTTTTTAAAGTCTCTCTTTCACTTATTTCCACTCTGATCTTTATAATCTCCTTCCTTCTATTTACTTTAGGCTTTCTTCTTCCTTTCTAGTTCCTTTATCTGAAAGGTTAGATTGAGATTTCTCTTGTTTCTTGAGGTCGTCAGTATCACTATTAACTTCCCTTTTGCTTTTGCTGTGTCCCATAGTCTTTGAACTGGTGTGTTTTCATTGCTCCATGTCTTTTTTTGGAGTCCCCTTTGATTTTTCTTTTTACTGACCTTGCTTAGTAGCATGTTTTAGCCTCCACGTGTTTGTGTTTTTTCCAGTTTTCTTCTTGTAGTTGATTTCTAGTTACATACTCTGGTGGTTAGAAAAGATGCTTGAAATGATTTCAGTCTTAAATTTATTGTGGCCTAACGTGATTTATCCTGGAGACTGTTTCATGTGCATTTGAGAAGAGTATATATATTCTATTGTTTTTGGATGGATTTACGTCCATCTGGTCTAATTTGTCTTTTAAGGCCAGTGTTAGCTTATTAATTTTATGTCTGGATCTATCTTTTGGTGTAACTGGGGTGTTAAAAGTTCCCTGTTACTCTGTTACTGTCAGTTTCTCCCTTTGGGTCTGTTAATATTTGCTTTATGTATTTAGGTTTATGTATTTATTTATGCTCCTATGTTGGCTGCGTAAATGTTTCCAGGTGTTTCCTTCTTGTTGGATTGATCCTTTATCATTGTGTAATGCCCTCCTTTGTCTCTTATTACTGCTTTTGTTTTACAGTGTATTTCTCCTGATATAAGTATTGCTACCGCAGCTTTTATTCTGTTCTGTTTGTGTGGAATATCTTTTTCCATTCCTCCGCTTTTAGTCCATGTGTCTTTAGGTTGGGAGTAAGTTTGTCGTAGGGAACATGTATGTAGGTCCTTTTTTTTTTTTTTTTAATCCATTCAACCATCCTACCTGTTTTGATTGGAGCATTTAGTCTGTTTACATTTAAAGTAATTATTGGTTGGTGTGTATTTATTGCCATTTAAAAAATTGTTTTCTTGTTGTTTTGCAGTTCTTGTTCTTTTCTTCTATTGCTCTCTTCCCTTGTGATTTACCTTTAGTGTTATCATTGGATTCCTTTCTGTGTCTGTTACAGATTTTTGATTTGTGGTTACCGTGAGGTTCCTATATGATTGAATGTATATAGCTGTCTGTTTTAGGTTGGTGGTCATTTAAGTTTGAATGCATTCTAAAAGCACTGCATTCACTTTATCACCCCCACGCATACACGTTTTTATGTTTTTGACATCTGTTTTATACCTTTTTATTTAATGAGTCCCTTAACTAATTATAGTAGATTTTGTCGACTTTGGTCTTTTAACCCTCATACTAGCTTTATCCGTGGTTGGTCCACTTCCTTTTCTATGTTTTCCCTTGCTGGCGAGATTTTTTCTTTCATGTGTTTTCTTATTTCTAGTTTTGGTCTTTTCCACTTTAATGCTTCTTGTAACCGGTTTAGTGGTGATGAGCTCCTTTAGCTTTTGTTTGTCTGGGACACTCTTTTATCTCTCCTTCAATTCAGAATGATAGCCTTGCTGGGTAATTTGTTGATTCCTTTCAGCACTTTGAATATATCGTGCTGCACCTGGCCTGCAGGCCTTTTGCTTGGAATCCACCTGATTCTGGAAATGTGCAAATACTAGAATAAAACAGAACAAGCATCCCATACTATTCAGTAACTGAACACAGCTACTCTTCTTTGGCAGAGGATTAAATAACTGGATTGAATATCTTTGTAACAACATCTAATTTTTAGGGTTCAGGATTCGATAACTGAACACATCTCTTTGGCAGAGGATTTACTGTAACATTACCACCAGAGGCCTAGCCTTCCCCTCTTTTGTAACTGGCATCTTGCTGTGATGTGGATGGAATTGCATTAAACCTGTATAGCGATTTGGGAAGAATTGACACCTTTCGTATTCCAGGTTTTCGTATGGCAGGTGACATCTGCCCCAGTTGAGCCGCCTCTGTGGCGGCTCCACAGAGGGCTGGCCTCGGAAGGTCAGGGGGCGTCCTGCTGAGGCCCCACGGCCGCTCCCGTGCTTGCTTTGGGAGGAACGGGAGAGAGCCAGCCTTCTCCCTCTTCTCTCTGCTATGCCGCCAGGGGTTTCTGCCCTTGGCATGGGGACCGAGGGACTTGCAGGCATGCTTTGTGCAGACACGAGCACCGCCAGAGCATTTATCTTAAGAGGCCAGAGCCTTTCCGGCATTTAGGAGAGATCATGTCAATGACCAGGGCCTTAGTTGGTCATTGTACTTAGTTGGTCAGAGTACCAGGCAAATAAAACATGTTCTCCATTTCCTTCCAGATACCATAATTGATATTATTTGACAGGACTCTAGTATTGTTAGTGTGAATCAGGGTTGTGATGTTAGAAGACCTAACAAGACCTTAGGGGAAAAATAGATGATCACATTTTTGCACTGTCTTCCTCACGGTGGTGGTCAGAAAAACACACTTCCAGGCAGGAGTTTTGCACTTTCCTAAAATTTGTACGACGTGATCTGTGGTCAACTCTCCTAGGATTTTTTTGGTCCCCCTCCTCCTTAGTGACACTTCTCCAGTCTGTGCTTCTACTCCAGAAACCGAGAATGAAATGTGTTGAAATCATGAAAACTTGTCTGTGATCACTGTCCTCCAGCTGCGTCCTGTACTTGGTTCAGTCGCAGAGGAAAGAGTAGCTGTGTTCAGTTATTGAATAGTATGGGATGCTTGTTCTTTTTTATTCTAGTATTTGAATATTTCACATTCGTCTTTTTATGGGACTCATGTACGTTGGAAAAGTGTTTTCATTTCTGAAATTGCCAAACTGTTTCCCATGTTGCTCCTCCCAGTTGCTGCTGCAGTTCTGGTGATGGCAGATGGCGGACTTTACACTGCTGTTGATAGAACATGATCATTTTGATGGTGAAAATAAAATTGATTTAGGGATGCCTGGGTGGCTCAGTCAGTTAGGCGTCTGCCTTTGGCTCAGGTCATGATCCTGGGGTCCTGGGGTCGAGCCCCACATCGGGCTCCCTGCTCAGTGGGGAGCCTGCTTCTCCCTCTACCCCTGCTTGTGCTCTCTCACTCTCTCTGACAAAATCTTAAAAAAAAAAAAAAGAAAGAAAAAATGGACTTATATAACTAATAACATCCCAATGTTATTTTATAGTTGAGGTTATATAGTTTTCATCTAAACCAGAGTGCAAAGATCTGTACAGAAATGACATAAAATAAAACCACCTGAAAAATTAGATGTTACAAAGGTGAGGAAGGAGATTTACCAAAAAAAAAAACCCCCCACAAAAACCCACTGACAATCCTGTGGGGATTCCCTTATATGTAACTAGTTGTTTTTCTCTTGCTGCTTTTAAGATTCACTTTATCTTTAATTTTTGACAGTTTAATTATAATATGTCTTGGTATGGATCTCTTTGGGTTAAATTTGTTTGGAGCTTTTTTTGATTCCTGGACCTGATGTCTGTTTTCTTCCTCATATTAAGGAAGTTTTCAGCTATTTCTTTTTTGTTTTAAAATAAAAATTATTTTTAAAAAGCTCTATTTCTTTTTTTTTTTTTTAATTTCAAGGGTAAAATTTAGTGATTCATCAGGTGCATATAACACGCAGTGCTCATCACAAGTGTCCTCCTTAATGCCCATCACCCAATTACCCCATCCCCCCACCCACCTCCCCTCCAGCAACCCTGTTTGTTTCCTAGAGTTTGGTATCTCTTATGGTTTGTCTCCCTGTTCTCATCGTATTTTATTTTTCCTTTCCCCTATGTTCATCTGTTTTGTTTCTTAAATTCCACATATGAGTGAAATCATATGGTATTTGTCTTTCTCTGACTTACTTCGCTTAGCATAATACCCTCTAGTTCATCCATACCATTGCGGATGGCAAGATTTCATTCTTTTGTTGGCTGAGTAGTATTCTGCTGTATATATATACCACATCTTCTTTATCCATTCATCAGTCAGTGGACTCTTTCCATAGTTTGGCTATTGCAGTCGTTGTAATTATTTCTTCATGTAAGTTTTCTTATTCTTTGTTGTCTCAGAGGTCTCTTAAATAACTATCCTCATCCAAAAAAATTTTTCTTTTGTTGTTGATTTTGGGTGATTTCTACCCTTTCAGATGGCTGATCTGTTCTTCTGTATCATCTAATCTGTTTATTCCCTATAGTGTATTTTTTGTTTATTGTATTCTTCTGCTCTGCTTGGTACTTTCTTATTGTAGAGAGATTTTCTGTCTCTTTGTTGAAGATTTACGTTCATCCATTCTTCTCCCAAGTTTGATGAGCATCTTTATGACCATTACTTTGAACTGTTTATGGGGTAGATTGCTCATCTTTGTTTTATTTGTTTTTCTGAGGGTCTGTCTTGTTCTTTCATTTAGAATGTGTTCTTCTGTCTCCTTATTTTGACTAACTGCCTTTATTTCTGTCTGTTAGGGAGCTCACCTTCATCTCCTGGTCTTGACGGAGTGGCCTTATGTAGGAGATGTCCTGTGGGGCTCAGAGGTGCAGTCCTCCGTAATCCCCTTTGTGGCCTGCAGGGACCCTCTTTGTGGCAGGGCCATGACTGCTGTGGGTGGGAGTGGCCTCTGGCCCAGCTGAGACCTAATACTTGTTTTGAAAAAATTTGAGGCTCTGTTGAATAGCAAACATAGTATGTAAATTTTAAGTGTTATAAAGTTATTCAGAAAGGAGGATAGGATCTTGGGATTATATTCATTGGATATTACTAAAGAGACTTAAATGTTAAATGATCCCTTTCCTTCTGTGTAATAGGCTCATCTGTCACTGGAATTGCAAAGGGATAGCCACATGAAACAGCTCCTCCTCATCCAGGAGAGGTGGAAAAGGGCCAAGCGGGAGGAGAGACTGAAAGCCCAGCAGAGTACAGACAGGGAGGCGGCTGCCCAGCTGCAGGCATCTCCCAAGCCCTCTTCTGAGGACGCCGAGAGCCAGAGTCCCCTTCTCTCTGAGAAATACAGCCCTTCCGCGGAGAAACATCTGCCTGAAATTCAGGGGGTCTTTGACAGGGACCCAGACACTCTCCTGTTTTTACTTCAGCAGAAGCGTGAGCCAGCAGAGCCACGCGTCGGAAGCAGAGCCCCCAAAGATGATAAGACAGTTATAGAGGAGCAGGCAACCAAGATTGCCGATTTGAAGAGGCATGTGGAATTCCTCGTGGCTGAGAATGAAAGATTAAGGAAAGAAAATAAACAGCTGAAGGCCGAAAAGGCCAGACTTCTAAAAGGCGCAGTAGAGAAGGAGCTGGGTGTCGATGCTGACTTCGTAGAAAAGTCGGAGCTGTGGAGCTTGCCGCCACCTCCCGAGACTGCCGAGGCCTCGTCCGGTTGGCAGAGCCTGGCCGCGAGCGCGGGGAGGGCCAAGGACATCCCCATACCCAGTCTCCCGCCCCTGGATTTCCCGTCTCCAGAACTTCCCCTTATGGAGCTCTCGGAGGATCTTCTGAAAGGATTTATGAATAATTGAAATGGAAGGCCAGACAAGAGCTGAGAAGACAAGACAAAATGATAGAGTAATACAGTTCATCCAGAAAAAAGAAAAAAAAAGGGAAAACCACACAGGGGGTGATAGCAGAGACGCGCCGTGGGGTGGGGGGGGGCACGCGGGGCCGGGAAACGCTAACTGTGACGCGTCCCGTGTGCAATTGAGCACTGGCGCTGAGGACTCCAGATGGGGCAGACACCAGGCTCCCGGGGGCTCCCTCTCTCCTGATACAAACCAAATGGCTACCTGGAATAACATTTTCAAGCAACAGTTATTTTTCTTATCTTCAGGGTTAAAATGTATAAAAGTATGTTATGTATAATTAATCTGTAATGCCATAAATGATAATGCAAAACCTAAAGAATATGGCGGCCTGAGGGGCCACCTTGTATTTGAAACATGCTTTCTATCATGCATTGACTCTATGCATTTTGTTATGCACATTTCGTTTGTTGAATAAGGTGTGTAAGACACACCTTTCTAGATGAAACTCTGTGTGCCACACTTTGCACTACTCATGAGAACCTCAAGACTATCAAGAGAAATATTTAAATTTCCATTTTATGAAGAAAGGAACCAAATTGTTATGTTTGTTTTTTTTTAAATTACCAGTTTACATAATTAATCAGGGTGCATTTTAAGTTCTAACTGTTTTGTTTATTGTTTAAATGTATCATTTGAAAGTACTAAGGACATATCCTTTTCTTTACTGATGCATGAGTGGAAGTGATGGTAGTTGGCATTGTTTGATTGTAAGAAGTCAATAAAGTAATTGTGTTTTATACCTTTGTTGAATGTGGTTGGCAGTTGATAAGCAGGTTTTGGGTGGCTCCTCTGTTGTCAGTTCTGCATATGCCCTTGAAGAGATTCAGCCAGATGATTCCTTGCTTTTGTTAAAGACATGCTTCAGGGCTTGTGTCCTGTGTCCGTTTCCCCTACGACGGGGTGGGGGGCGGGGGGGACAGGGAGCTCCTGAGGTTTAAGTGTGCCCCCTCTTCTTGCCCCGCCACACGGACAGTGCGCAGGCAGGGGGTGGCTGTACCCCGGGCCTCCCCCACCCCCCTGCTCAGCCTCAGACGTTCCGGGAGGGAGGGAGAGGAGGACAGCGTGAGCGCAGCATGCGGCTACAGGCCACTGGGTGTGTTTAAAGCCTAGACTGTGTTCACTGTGTGGAATTGTGGGAGTGCCAGACAGATGACGGACCCCCCACTGCCTCAGAGACTGACCTCAGGGACAGTGGGGCCGAGGGGTAGGACTGGGCTCACGTTTGGCGATGAAACTGGCAGGAGGAGCATGAGATGGAAGTGAGCTTGTGGAGGCCACGTTTTTTCATGTCTCATCTTGCTGTGGGTGAAACCAAAAATAAACTAGCTTCTTAAAAGACTTCTTCCTATCCTGTTAAAGTTATGGCAGTTTGTCCGTCTCAGTGTTGTAATATCACAGATTCAGAGTATTTTGCTTGCCTAACCTTCCTCACAAAACTTCAGATTTTAAAAGTTTGTGCCCCAGGGGCGCCTAGGTGGCGCAGTCGGTTAAGCCTCTGACCCTCAGGTCATGATCTCAGGGTCGTGAGTTCAAGCCCCACGTCGGGTTCCAGGCTGGGCCTGGAGCCTGCTTAAAAAAAAGTATAAAAGTTTGTGCCCCAAAGAAACTCACCCAGCTCACCATTTCTCTCCCGAAACTGAGCTTTGCTGTATTTTGACCTGAACCTTTTCTAAGTCAATCCCCCCTCCCCCGGCCAGCGTGCCCTGGCCCCCCGCCCTCCGCTCACTTTCGGCACTTGGACCTGTTCGTCAGAACCCCGTTCTGAGCGTCTCCAGAGCAAGTGCGCGTTGCATGGACTTCTGCTTTACTGTTGTTCTGAAGCTCTCACACTAGTTCGTGTCTGGTTTATCCCGTTGAGTTTTGGGCTTGAATCTGTTAACAGAACGTATGTGCCTCTTGACCAGCATGACTGGCACCTTTGCAGCAGTCTCGCGGTGTCTTCCATAGAGTAGATAATGAAATAAAAAACCCTTGTTTTGTTTAATTGAAAGACCCAGCCTCTGGGCACATGGCCCCGCTGCCTGCCGGGCTTTCCTGTGTTCCTGGGTCTTCATTTAGCTTGAGAATAGCCTGTTTGCACGGAATGACAACGCATTCTGCTTGTACCGGATTCTTAGCGGGCTCTTGTCCTAACTTGGTGGTGGCCTCTCGCTGTTGACCACATAACCAGCTGCATGTTAGAAAGGCCGGGAAGTTTCTCACTGTCAGCTTTTCACAGAAGGACAACAGACATTTCGTTCAGAAAGTAAGTGGTATGTAGAAAGTCTCAGCCATCCTGCCATGGTAACCACAGGTCATGCCTCCTGCCCGGAAACCATGCTTAAGAGGAAACAAGATATTTTCAACATCGTTCCTTCAGAGCCATTGTCTGTCCCTCATGTTTTATCAAGGTTATTGAGATGAAAATACTTCGTCTCTAAGTCAATTCAAAATATTAAATCCATTATGTTCTGCTTTTAACACTTCGTAGGTACTGCTTCTTTTAATATATTTTGTGTGCCATAATTTTTTTTTTAAGATTTTACTTATTTGACAGACACAGCGAGAGAGGGAACACAAGCAGGGGGAGTGGGAGAGGGAGAAGCAGGCTTCCTGCGGAGCAGGGAGCCCGATGCGGGGCTCGATCCCAGGACCCTGGGATCATGACCTGAGCTGAAGGCAGACGCTCAACGACTGAGCCACCCAGGCGCCCCGTGTGCCATAATTTTTAAAGCCGACTTGATAAGAAACAAATTGAGGCTCAGAAGGTTGTGACTTAGGTGAAGTTTTCTCCCAGCGTCGGAGCAGAGCCAGGAGGGAAGCGGCCTAGCAGTCCCGTGCTGTCCAGGGCCACGCGGGGCCGAGTTGGCTAGTTTCCCTACTTGGGCTCAGTGACCGGGTCATTCACATTTCTCTGCAGGCACACACGGTATCCCTGGGCCTCAGCTACTCTGCTTCCCGAGTGTTGTTTGGAGCTGAAAGTTGTCTCTACCCTCAATTGTAGAAAGCCTCATCTCTGTTTTCATTTGTGGGGAGTCGTGATTAAAGTTTTGTTGTTTTAGAAGATGAAGGTGAATACTAGCTTGGGGCAGTCAGCCTTAGGATGATTATAATACTTGAAGAGCCAAGGGCTTACGAACTGTAATAGCAGCTATTACTGGATCATTTTAGACCAGTAGGGTATAGATGTGAAGACTAAAAGTGATCACTATTATATTTTGTCATAGTCCCAGTGTAGCCTAATTGGAGACCTCTGCAGGGGCAAGTGGCATGGTTTAGAAAAGGAGAGTGTCTTCAAGATTTGTCTACTTTGTCCCAGTTGGAACAGTAGCCTTTAAGCATCACCGCTGAACAAGTAAGCAGTGCCATCTAGTGGGCGGTGAGAAACTCTCCTGGTTCATGTTGGTCAAAGGGGTGTGGGCAGCAGAGGTAAAAAATCCTCAGTTGGGCACGAGTAAATGCCTCATATTTAAATACTCCTCTAGAATTTAGTAAATATTCTCATATTCAAGAGTCATTTGTAGATATGTATAGACAGAAAAAAAATCCTCAAATCAGTGTAATCTGAACACAGGCACCAGATATTTAACACAGGCCATCTTTCCTTCTGCCCCTAGAACTATGAAGTAGCTAGTGTAGCCTTCACGGGAGAAGTAGGGGCGATCAGAGGATGGGGAAATGGCTTTCTCAGTAGAGAACAGCATGAACAAAAGTATGGAGTCAGAAATGGGAAAGAGGAACTGTAAGTTGGTCAGAATCCTATCATGGCAAGACACATGAGGAAATTTGGTGGAGGCTCATGCGGATTGTCCTTTCATTTCCTAAAAGGGAGGGGGTCAGGATCAGGTCCTGGTCTTAAGAAGTGGAAAATATTTGGAATATGCTCTCAAGGTTAGGATTGCTCAGTAGCCAAAAAGATCTCAGAAGCTGGGGTCAGTTTTTGTGGTCCTTAGCCTGCTTCTCTGTTGTAGATGTTAAGTTGGAAAAAGAGGGTAGGGTATTCTTGTTATGACAGGGATAAAAACTGAAGGAATCAAGGATACAAATGAGAATATCTTTAAGGTTACCAAACAAACAGTCCAAGATGTGCAAGGATGATGAGGGAGTGGGGTAGGACTGAGGTACTAAAGCCTCATGAGGCGTTTCGAAAGGTAAAGGATACTTTCGGGGCGCCTGGGTGGCTCAGTCGGTTAAGCGTCTGCCTTCGGCTCAGGTCATGATCCCAAGGTCCTGGGATCCAGCCCCACAAGCATCGGGCTCCCTGCTCAGCGGGGAGCCTGCTTCTCCCTCTCCCACTCCCCCTGCTTGTGTTCCCTCTCTCACTGTCTCTCTCTGTCAAATAAAATCTTCAAAGGTAAAGGATACTTTCTAAAACAAGGAAGGAGGTTGTACCCTGGAAAAGGGGTTCTTGGTTTGAGGAACCAATTTTTAGGCCTATGCTCCTTTGAAGTCAATTCCCCAAAGAAAAATTTTGCTGCTGAGGGTATTATGAAGTCCCAGAGCCTCTGTTGCCACCAGTAATCTTTTACTGGCTTTGGATCAGATAATTCCCTGTTCTTACGAGTTCTTATGAGGAAATGGCTGTTCAGGGAGGGGCCTATTTGAAACAGATGTTAACCTCTGCCCCCAAACGCTTTAGTTTTAGGGTTAAAACTAAATAAACTACGGAGGCAGCAAGAAATTGAGCGGGATATGGGTCATAGACCCCTTTTCATCTTTAGGTAGTTTTCACTTATTTAAATACCCAACACTTTGGTTTTGTTTTGTTTTTTTAAGATTTTATTTTGTCAGAGAGAGAGGGAACACAAGCAGGGAGAGTGGGAGAGGGAGAAGCAGGCTTCCGGCTGAGCAGGGAGCCCGATGTTTGTGGGGCTGGATCCCAGGACCTTGGGATCATGACCTGAGCCGAAGGCAGACGTTTAACTGACTGAGCCACCCAGGCGCCCCTAAATACCTAACACTTTGGGTAATGTTAAGTTCTAGAAAGACCTTTGTTTCATACTTTAAAGTTGATTGAGATTTCTGGGGAAGATGGTGTAGGAGGACCCTAAGCACACCTTGTCCGGCAGGTACAGCTAGGTAACACAGCAGTGTAAATAACCCAGAAAATGACCCAAAGTCTAGCAGAACAGACTTCACAGCTAAAGGCAGAGAAGAAGGTAGGAAGGGTGGCAATGTGGTCGAGAGCTAAAGGGACCCGTGGGACTGTCCATGGGAGGGAGGGAACTGTGGGTGCCAAAGAAGAGAGAAACAGACCCTCACAACAAGCACCCCAGGCATTGGAACCCGCACGGGGAAGACAAATCCCCAAAATGTTTGGCTTTGAAAACCAGAGGGGCATAATTTCGTGAGTTCTTACAATCTGCAGGGCTTAAACCCGTAACTTTGACGATCAATCAGTGGGCTCAGCTCTGGGAGAGCCAGAAGGGCGAGAGGAAACAGAGTCCCCACCCTTAGCACTACGAACAACCCTGCAGAGACACAGCACAGAAGCAGCAATTTGAAAACCTCTGGGGCACATGGGAGGCAGATTTGTTTACTAATCTGAGAGTGCATGATGGAGGGGCAGGGATCATTGAGAGACTCCTCCAGAAACCAAGGAGCTGGTGGGCGCCATCCCCTCCCCCCGCCCGCCTCGCCTCCAGCCCAGACAGCTGTAGGAACCAGCACTGTGCCAACACTCACTAATTGCTAACAGTACGCCCCGCCCCCATATGCCCCTTGGGACATGCCCCCTCCAGCCAGGCCTCCACTCCAGGTCCCCT